TTATCTTCCGACATGTGATCATCTTTTTACTCTTCAGTCGGCTATGTGGCGCTTTATGAGGGGGAGAATAAACCGGAGCTTGTTCGACGAGACACCTGCACGGCTGCGTGCTCACAGGGTGAATGGCTGGTCGTGATCTGGCAGTAAAATTGCAAAGCCCTGCTCATACGTCACGTTTTCGTCTTCCTGGATCTGGACGAACAGACGAGCTTGAGGACGATGATTAGGGACTATTATGATCGTCATTTTTGTTATGATGACAACCGCCGAGTACTGTGTGACTTTTCCGTAGATGTCAAGCAGTACAAACTGACTCGTACCTACTATCAGCGCTTTGTTAAGAAAAAAATCTCCCCCAATTTTTCCCGTAGTACTACTTATTGAAACGACGGGTAAGGTCCCGGTTTAAAATGGCTCGACATCTGGACGTCAGTTTCGCAAAACCTAAATGACCCGGTCCTTCGCGACTTCGATTGGCGTAGCGTCCACCCCAATTCCGTTTGCAGTTCTGTTCTCGCTGTGTGCGGTGCTCGGAGCCCGATGAAGCACTCAAACATGCGTTAGTACATTGTCCAGCATTTCACGCCAAATGGATGTACATCCTTAAGCTATGTAATCGCTTGGACCCGCTGATCATAACCTTCAACGAAAGACACTATTACTTGGCATTGTTTGCTACGCGGCGCTCTTGACCTCTAGTGAGGTATCCCATCAGTGTCAGCAAATTTGAGGCGTGGAACGAACGTGTCTCAGTCCAATTTGCCCATTCCACTGTTGTGAATTGCCTACAATATTTCAAGAGATAAGTGAGAACACGCCTCACAATGGAAAAAGTTGTTCAAGGCGCTAGATTCGGTTGTCAATGACTCAGTAAAAAATTTAATTTAATAGAGATATACAGTCGATTAGTGGTGTATGTTTAATGGTTGTAACTAGGGTCGATATGTAGAGTATGTATGTAGACTGTAATATGTTTTCCCTGAGTGTTAAATACCATATGGTCTTTTTAATAAAAATCGTTTTTAATGAGTACTGCTGAAGTAACAAAGTATGAGTTACATGCAATAATCAACTTGTCTTAGGGTAGAGTAGGCCGCATATTACGAAAGCTTTCCCTGTAAAATGCTCTGATCACGATGTTAAGACTTTCATTGTTTGAAACTTGTTGCATCGTTCAAACTCAACTGACTAAAGCTCTTTATTCAACATAGGTGAATAATCTACCATTTAGACAGTCAAAAAAAACATATTGTAATTTTCCCATTCTTAATAAATCTGATTAAGAATTTAAAAACCTAAACTAACGTCCTATGCAGAGTCACTCATCATGAAATCTCGTAAATGTGTTTCATATTTTCTTATATTGTAGATCGCACTCGGATGGAGTTGTGAAAGTCGCTTTACCACCTCTGTCATTCACTTCAATTACTCTTACTAGTTTGTCATTACTCATGTGTTATGGTGTTTCATGGCCAAGATTGTTCGTTTGTAGTTTGGATTCTTTCTAAATGTCAGTTGTTTGTTCATATAATGATAATGCTCCAATGTTCTATGAGCCCACCTGAAGGTGGTCAGCTGATCAACTCTGCACTAAGCATTCTTTGAGTGATGATATAACTGGGGTATTGAAGTGATACCTTTTCCTTCGCTTAAATTTACCATAAGAGTGCATTGTAAATTGTAATCTATCGAAACGGCAATTCGTGATATCAGTAGCTACTTTATTGGTTAATAATGTTGAAAACGTATGGAATGGTGTAAATCTATTGAATGGACATGGCATAATGGCATATGTACGTATGAACATTAAAATTGAACTATTGGTATATAAAAACGGAATTTACTCTACGAAGATGGAAGACAAGCGAGTTAAAAAAACACGGTTCATGTCTTGTGGTTGGTAAGTTCAGTGGATAGGTGTTGTATGAGTAACTGCATGAGATCACCTGCCACTTTTTACTTATCTTATTTAACGTTTATAAAAAAAATTGCAATGCTGAAAGTAGGGTTCATTGAGTTTCTAAAATATAAAATGTTACAATAAATTTCTATGATATACACGTATAAACTGTCCGATGAAAAAAAAGATCTACTACGTCACCTAGACCAGACTGCCCAAGACCAATGCTTGGAAATCAGGTATTAAAGTTTTGTTTTTTTCAAAATATTTAATTTCTGTTGACGTTTATAACGTGTTTTTTTATAGAATAGCTATACCCACGACTGTGGACGTACTAACTGGAAAATAAATGAACGAAAAACAGAAGCACCAAGAAACAAGCGTCTTTATTGAAAGATTCACTCTTCTGACTTTTGTTTCGCATAGTGTCTATCAGTATAACGCATTTTCAAATTCAGCCGTTAAAAATTTCCGTAAACTAAATTTTCACAGTTGTTAAATTTTCTGAAAAAACACACATTGCAAGCCAGCTATTACTTAAGGTCTTAATGAAGCAACATGGAAATTTTGAATCGAATGAAGTCCAGTAAACATCAAAAAGGATTTTTATGGAAATCATGACGTCACTTTGGTTATTTCATTTTTCATTGTTATTGGCAGGTGAATGGTTAGGTCTCCCGTACAGAATAATTTTTTCACATGATTTATTTATGGCTGCTATTAGTTTTCATTTTTCAACTATTTTTTTAAATTTTTGTTACCACTTTGCGCTCTTTCATTTATTGTTCTCTACCTAAGTTTGCATTTCTTTTTCTCGAGCAGAAAATATTTGCTATGTCAATGGGGAAGTCACCCTCTTTTTGTCACTCGCTTTTTGTCACCCGCTTTTTGTCACCCGCTTTTTGTCGCTTTTTTTTTTAAATTTGTATACGACAGTAACGCACGATCTGACAACGCTGCATGTTAAAGTAGATCATTGCATCATCAGGATCATTGAAAAGCACAAATATATGAAACATTTATAACTACAAAAAATAAATGAAATTTTTCTGAATTTTTCATATTCTCTTTTATGGTACGGATTTTTTACTGGATCCACCAGTTTTCCCTCCCATTTCATTTTGTTTTGGGGGAAAAGCAGCGTCGACATTTGGGGCCAAGCGATGTCATTTGTCATGACATTATTTATCGTAGCTATCATGAATATTTACGTTTCTTTTTCATTTCATGGCCTTTCGGTATATCTCCCAAAACACTGCGCTTATTAAATACAACGGCATACATTTTAAAAATGCAGATACGCAATGCGTATGTGTTGGTAGCCTTCAAGCATATAGCTACTGAGTGAAAGAGATTTAATCAACATAGTTATAATAAAATTACATATTTAATATTATTTACGTAAGACTTTTTCAAGATTAAAAAATGCTCTGCAGTGTTATATGATTGAGTAGTTTCCTAACCCTGGAATCCGATACTACCAAATAACTGCAACAGTTAGAATCCAATACTACAATTGTTGAAGATCAAAGGTAAAAATTCTAGAATGTCTCAAACATTCTCTTGTTTTGTGTTAAAAAAAGTCTACACAAATCGAAGTCACTAAATGATAAAATCTCTTGGAAGTAACGTCATTGCCTTTTTTCAGTTCTATACCTGAGTCAGTGTTGTTCGGCCGAAAATGCACTTGAAAAATAGATTCATCCACTTAATTGGTTTAGCCGATCGGCGTGTTGCGCATACTTGTGGTCCTTAACTTGCAGTTCCAAGCACCTATCTGTGCCACAATAAATTAGTTGAAGAGTTTTCATCCATTCTTCGCGAGAAAGTTCATGGACGTTCGATATGTTGTGTAGTGGGGACGGTAAAGTCATATCTTCACATCTAAATAATATACGACATTCTACTATTGTATTTTTGTTTGTGACGAAATCCATAATATACAGTTGAAAGAATTATTTCACCAGCTGATTGATTTATTAATTGTATTATGTAAAAACTATAAATACCAGTTGTAGTTAGCATTTAGTTAGGGTTTTTTTGGCAACAACCATGTAGGATTTTCTCATCACTTCCTTGACAGTATTGCAACTTGTGTTGTTTGATAATTCGTACTTAAGTTATATCGTATTGCTTCTTCGATCTTGAGAATGTAAGCTATGAGTATTAAACTGCTAGCAATTGTGATGTAAACTTTATACTTGTTATTTCTTTATTATTAAAGTAAGCAGAATATAGACTGGCATTAGTATACTTCTATTTGTGTTCGTGAACTTCTATTTGTGTTCGTCATGTGCTTCTATTTGTTATCGTGTATTTCTGTTTGTGTTCGTGTGCTTCGGTTTGTGTTCGTGTACTTCTACTTGTGTTCGTGAACTTCTATTTGGTTCGTATACTTATATTTGTATTCGTGTAATTCTATTTATTTTCGTAATTGTGGGCCAAAGTAGTAGAGGGATTTGAATCCATCGTAGGTTGGTTTTATAATAAAAATTTAGGGTTTCTATAGAAAACAATAAAAGAACTTTTCCGTGAAACACTCGTGCAAGGAAAGAAGTGCTTTAAATACATGAGGAGAAAATTTTTGGTAATTATATTTTAAAATGAATGTAATGTGCAATTGTGTTGTAGACTCAACCAGCTTGTGCGAAGCAACTTAAATAGATGTATACTTGAAATTATTAGATTTAAAATGCTTGTTTAGACGGAATTTTTAGTTCTGCTAGGCAGGAAGAGAAACAACGCTAACCCAGTGCGCTAACCAATGCTGGCCACGATCCTAATCATATGATTCTGATTAGTGATCACTGGCACATGACTGGCATGAATACCTGATAAACAAGACCAGTTCAAACAAGCCGGATAAGGGGCTGTTCATGTGATCGCGGTTTAGCGAGAAATCTCGCCTACCTGTTTATGAACTTGCTTTGGCACCTTTGCTACAAAATTAGTATCAATAGTGACTATCAATGTTTAATTATTTATCAATATTTTCGCATCGAGTTTCTCATATGAAGGCGAGGTGATATTTTGTTCGCTCAGTGGGAATCCTCCTAATCACCGTCACATGAAAATGCTCAAGTTACTTTGTTGAAATGTATACGTGTAAAAACACGTATATCTTACCAAAGTACAAGTGTACTGCAGCGAGGGCGTGCAAAGAGAAGTTACAAAACAGTAATCATCTGCAGAATTTTCATCAAAAATTCTATTCATTATGACAGAAGACAAGAACAAAGGGTATTTCGCTGTTGACAAATTAATGAAAAAGGCAAAAACCGCAGATGTCACTTTAGACGATATCAATGATGCATATGCGACTCACAGCGCAATATACGAGACGGTAGGTTGTGTTCAAGTCTGACTGAAAAAGCTAACCCATTTTAAGCAATTTCACTTCCGTGCAGTTTATGCAAATTAGGTTGACTGTACAAAATTGCAAATTCAAAAAATATATTCAATTAAAATGTAAATAAGATCGAAATCGGTTCTTTACTTAGAAGTTGTTGACAAATAAATTTCGTCGTGTGTCGCAGACTTTGTCCGCGACTGTGTGAACCCTCAACGGAAAAAATGTATTTATAGATCACAAAAAAGCATTTTGTAATTGTGGATAGGTACTGCTCAAACCGACATGAGATACTTGTTTCTTTTGCTATAATGTTGTTATGAGTATAAAATATTGTGAAATTTTCCTAATTTTTCTCAATAATGATGTTTATTAAATCAGTTTTCGTTCCATTTTGTCTATAATTGTAGATTCTGAGCTAACCCCTCCATCCCTTTGCGGCCAAAGTCCACGATGCATGACAAAATCTATTTTTCGACAACCACTTGTTTTGTAATTGCCAATTTTGTGCTTGTTTTTGCTCACCGATAAAATCGTTTTTTATTGGAATGGTCAATAAACCTACAAAATACTGACATAGTTGCATAACAGAACCATACATAAATATTCGAGAGATTTAGAAAACACGACGTATCGTGTAAGACGTTGTGAAAATGGCGTTAAAATGACGTGATATTCCTATATATGATTTGGTCTACGCCATATCTACGCCATTTTAACGGCGTCTTAGGCGATACGTCGTGTTTGCTATATCTCACTAATTTATGTAAAAACAACTTTTCAAACACACACTTCTTTTTTTAGGGAATGAAGAACAATGATTATTCTGGACATATTGTGGCTGTTAGTAAATTGACACAAAAATTGAAAGAGTTTGAATTTACTAACAATGTTCGCATAATTGACATGGGTTGTGGTACAGGTATGGCTGGCGAGCAGCTGAGCAAACATGGCTACACAAACCTCGATGGAGTTGATCTAAATTTTCAAATGCTAGAGCTTGCAAGAAAAAAGGGCATCTACAAATCATTGCAGACAGGAGCAATGGGATCTCCAAATTGCAAAGATTTGGGAATCAATCCAAATGAGTATGATGCTGCTATATGTACTGGAGTGTTAGCGCTTGCACATGTGGAGAGTGAAGGCTTAAATGATCTTATTCATGTGGTTAAACCTGGTGGTCTGGTATGTTTCAGTATAAGAGATATGCATTACAACACCAAGAAATGTAATTTTCCTGAAAGCATAGAGCAAAATTGTAAGGACGGAAAGTGGAAATTGATTGACAAGCATCACCAAGAAAACTATTTGGAAGGAGATGGTGCCTGGTATTTTGTCTGTCAAATACTATGAAGTAATTGATTTCATCTGACATTGATTTTTTGATGTTACTAGGAAATATTCAAAGCGAAATTTTGTGTCACTGACAGTATTAAAAACAGAGACAATAGTTTTGAACAAAAAATGAGAAGAAATAAATATTGAAGAAAAATGAAGTTCTGATTTGAATGATACCCTATGTGAAATATTACAATTATAAACTCTTAATTATCTTTACAAAGATTGGCTAATTTATCTTAAGTCATTTCCAAGTTTTCCTCTTGATCCTCATAGAAGTCTTCAACTAGTTTATCCATGGATAAAAATGTTTCGCTAGATCATTCAAATACAGTATATGTGATCAAGTCCTACTAGAGAACAATTGAAATTAGTACGTTTCATTTCACTTCAATGGTGTGTTCCAATTGTTATTAATTCAAAATACTTTAATCACAGTACTGCTGGTTGGAAATTTTTAAAGTAAATTTAAGGTTAAAATACTCCAAATACGATAAGCTCTTTAAAAATGGAAATATATTTTTAGTAAAGTATTCTGATCTACTGTATGCTAATATGAATTTTATTCCATGATAGGATGATTAAGTAGATTTATATCTGCTCGTTTTATGCAACTTAGCTATACAATAAAATTGAAACACTAAAGTAAATTCAAGCAAACTTTACTAGATAACATAACCTTTGAACCTTGCAATAACCACAATAGTGGAATGAGTTGAATGATTTATACAATCGATGACTTCATTGTGTAGGCAGTAGCGTTCTGAGAAGAAATGTTTCTCTTGGGGAAGCACTTTCCACTGAAAATTCCACTACCCCACAAACATAACAGTTTAGTAATGAGGGCCAAGCGTTTGAGCAAAACATGGTAGGCTCGAGTCGTAATAGGGTGGTCTTAAAGAATACTTGCCAGAAAAAATTACAATTAAGAAAAAGTAAAATGTCATTTCGTTCACTTTGGCAAATGAAATAATACTAGAACTAACTGTGTCATTTGAAATAAGTTTTATTAACCCCTAAAGTACAACAAGTAGGACGCTATGGCCACCTGCCTCCCTGCCAGCATGCCACTTAGAGAAGATATAATCTGTGAAATATAGAATATTGAACTTAGCTTTCGTGATTAGCGATGGCGTCAATCCATTCTATGTAACAATAAGCTTAACAATTATAGTCTTTGTCCTTTCCAAGATGCTGATCTAATCCACGAAGTTCATTATCATTATCATCATCAAGTTTCTGCAGCCCGTCACATTGTTATCTATAAGCACTGCATTATTTAATAGGTACATTTTCAGTCAACCTTTTTGCAAGAGCAACGCAAGGTTGGGCATCTAGTCCTACACTTGCACACAACACCCAAATTCAAAGAAACAATGACTCAAGGTATGCCCTTTTTATATCGAACAATATTTGGATGATGTATTGCCTCCAACATGCGATAGGCTAGTCCAACATGTACATAAGGCATTTTCTTGATATGAACGAATAAATGTTTTCTCACCGACTGGTCATGGATGGAAATTTGCTGATGGATGACTGCTATTAATTTAGATGACATTTCCACATCCGCTCTTCCATCAGTGAATCTGTATCTCCATTGTAAGTGTAAGACTAAATGCTGGATCATGCAAAAAGGCTGAATTCAATTGCACCTATTTGTCTTTCTCTTGTAATTGCCATAATGCAGTGTTAGGAGATGACATCCCTGCGCCTGGATCATCACGTTGTAGTCGTGCAGGGGCTTAAGTACTTCACTGAAGGAAAACTAAGAATGATCCAAACCCGGTCTCCGAACCTAGATGTCAAACTCTCGGAGCCACACCTCCAAACTCTGCTGGCTTCATAAGACACAAGCTGGCTTGATGAGACACACATGGAGGTGGGACTACCTTACGAAACTACTACTAGGAGATGACAATTACGATGAAGCCGTGACAATGATTTTCAGTTATATTTTATATTTGACTGTTAATACCTGCACCATACTTAAATGTTAAGAGTTGCCCATGTATTTTATGTTAATAAAAGAGATTAGGTAGAACATGCGATAATTTGCTATTTATAAGCAAGCTATATTTATAAGAAGAACAAGTTTTTTATGGTTACACTCTATGTTGTCCTTCAACGTTTTAAAGTGTTATTAATTGTTTTTAGCAAGTACAAAAAGTAGCACAAACATGTTTTGCAATTAAACCATCTAAAATTACAATAAAAAGGCAAGAATTGTTCAAGAATTAGATTTTATTAGTTTTCAATATCGTATTTACGCATAGTATGTAGAAAAAAGTAAAAAAATCATAGTTTTGAACTATAGCTTAACATCCGGGAATGAATTTTGCCCCCCCCCCAAAAAAAAAACGCGTATCATATTTTGAACTATAGATAAAATTACGATGCCACCTCTAATTTTATTTATAATCTCTATGGTCGTACTCGTAGTCTTTGCTAAAGCTCACTATTAGCAGAATACGGTAAACCATGCGCTTCCTTTAAAATATATTAGTAACTCCTTTGCATGCATTAACAACACGACAATTTAGAGTAGAAAATATGGTTTATTATGCCGCATTTATTGTAAAAACTTTTCTTCTAAGAACCACCCAACGAGGCAAAAGGTTTCTGTTTTCGTTTCCCGTAAATAAGCGCATGCGGGATATTTGGATTTAAAAAATCGACGAAAAAACAGAAGCCGACAAAGAGCTCAAAGTTGTGCTGGCAACATTTCGATAGTTCGTGCTTCGTGCAAAGTTTTGAGGCGATGCAATCAGTTGGATTGACAGCATGACGGCTTCGCCTTAATAAAGACGCTGTACCCACGATTTTTGACTACTTGTTTGTAAATGTAGATCGTGCAGGTTGGTATAGTCCTGAGAAGGACTGTTTTTCTCGTTGTTGACTGACGTTTCGACAACCTAAGCGGTAGTCATCTTCAGAGTCAAAACTTTGGCCACATCAAGCATCCTACCGTAGTCCTACACCATATTTCAAGACAATATCTCCTCGCGACCGTCATTTCGTAATAAAGAACGAACTTCACTAAAATCATTCATTTGGAATGAAAATATTATATCATAGCCAATTGTTGCCTCTGAGTAAATGCATTATAGCTTTACTAACAGCGCAAAGAAATCGTGTTAGTGTTAACGTTTATCTTTTAGAGAAATTTAGATATTGTGTTGTGTTTACATACAGCAAATCAATGAGTCCGCTCTTTAAACTTCTCCGTCAAGGAACCTATTACAAAACTTCGTCAAAGTCTTGAATTTTACGAAATTTAACGAATATTAGTAAAAAAACCCACAACCGTTAGTAAAAATATTAATTGACCAACAAGAGAGCTTTTTATAAGCTTAGAATTAGTCAAAATATTCATTGACCAATGAGAGACCTTCTTATAAGCCTTAAATTAGGGAAAATGGGGAAAACCACTGCTTTTTGACTATTTCATCTCGGGCGCTATGTGCAATATCTGATTGACGTTTGAGTCAGCGACTGGAGCGTGAATCAATTGCATTCCTAATGAATACATCATTGTAATTCAACCGCTCAAATAATTTAAAACTTTAACAGCATATATTTTGATGTAGACTCTTTAAATGTTAGTCGCGTGACGAATCTGACTACCCCTAAATCCGCCCCCTGTCATCAGGTAATTATGTAGTGCAACTACTGCCTTGGTTATTTCTATCAATGTATTTACTTTACGAACAATTGGTCTCCAAAATAAACTGAATGTCGATGCACAAATCCCAAAACAGTTCTCAATAACTCTTCTTGCTGGAGATCGTCTGTAGTTAAAGATTCGTTTTGTTTATCAGGCTGATCTTTAGGATATGGCTTCAACATAAGTGCTCAAATCCAATTTCTACACTTTCCTACTGCTCCAAGTTTGATGGGCAATTAAAATAACCATTTTTACAAAGTGTTCTCCACAATGCTTGCAGGTTTTAGCAACAATTGTGTATAGAGAACGTGGTCTAGTTCTGTAACTACTGACCCAAGAAATCTGTGCATCACCCGTCACAAGGTATTTTATTGTCAGGCATAATCTCTCAGAAGGTGATATTGTTTCACGGCACAAAGAGTATTTGGTAATGGCTGGTCCCACAGTAGAAATAGAGTAGGCGTCATGGAAAATTGTTTAAAAAAATATTCATGGTCCACAAGTAGCATTTCAGCAATAAGAGTGGAAAATTCACCTATTGTCGTTCTTTCAGAAAGTATTTTTCTAGCCCATATTCTTTTCTTGTATTTATCGTTTGTATTAGTATAAGAAGCAATATGCGTCTATTTAAGGCCCGTCATATTTATTTCTACGCTAGCATGACTGGAAAATCTAACTCATTGCTGAAAAAAGATATCGGAAATGGGCTTCGTTGCTTACGGAAACTTTACTTTCCAAGGAAAATTTTCTTAAGGGGAAACGGTTCTTCACTGGCGAAGAGTATTTTTTCTCGCGAATTGGCATTTGCCGTCCTCACGCATGCGTACATTTATTTTACGCGGAAAATTTCGCATTTCGCTGAAATATTTTCCCTGTGGAATTAGGTCTTAACGGAAATAAGAGTGAAACTTTTTAATAACTTTAAAATTATTGTCAGAATGTGAATTGGCCCAATGAGTGTTTCTTAAAGATGTTTCCCAATCGCTGAGTCATATGACATCAAATTGTCACTACTACAATCACGTTTTAATTGTCGTCGTGCTTTTGGTTTAAATATACCAGCTTCTATCAGGAGCTGTTCCATCTAACTGTTCTTTTATGACGACAAAACAGTTCATTTATATTTCGTTTAGCATTCTGTTTAAAAAGAATTCTTTTAACGACTGTTACAATATTGTTTAGATCATTCACCATGGTATTTGTTCTTTTTAAAACAATTTTTAAACTTGTCGCCCCGAAAAATGGTCTCTGTTTAATAGATAAACATTTGATATAAATATTCCTGTTACGAAGCATTTTTTCGCTCTTATGCCAACAAACTTCTTATCAAAACAAAACTTCTTTATGTGCAAATATGCACAAGCTATTATCTTTCTTTTTTTAATGAAATTTGTAAAATAGAATGACGTACTTTCTAAACGTATTTTACTATACGACAACAATATTAAAGTGATAAACATTTGATATATATATTCCTGTTACGAAGCATTTTTTCGCTCTTATGCCAACAAACTTCTAATCAAAACAAAACTTCTTTATGTGCAAATATGCACAAGCTATTATCTTTCATTTTTAATGAAATTTGTAAAATAGAATGACGTACTTTCTAAACGTATTTTACTATACGACAACAATATTAAAGTGATAAACATTTGATATATATATTCCTGTTACGAAGCATTTTTTCGCTCTTATGCCAACAAACTTCTAATCAAAACAAAACTTCTTTATGTGCAAATATGCACAAGCTATTATCTTTCTTTTTTTAATGAAATTTGTAAAATAGAATGACGTACTTTCTAAACGTATTTTACTATACGACAACAATATTAAAGTGATAAACATTTGATATATATATTCCTGTTA